AAAAAAAAAAACATAGAACCACCTAAACCTTGAAAGCCCCAAACCCTAAAAGCCTAAACCCTAAAACCTCTAAACCCTAAAAACCCTAAACCCTTAAGAACCCATACCCCAAAAACCTTAAACCCTAAAAACCACCTAAACATTAAAAACCACAAACCCTAAAAACCCTAAACCGTAAAACCCTTAGAAAATCACTTAAAAAATGCAAACCATAGAACCACCTAAACCCTAAACACCTTAAACCCTGAAAACCCTAAACCCTAAAAACCCTAAACACTGAAAACCCTAAACCCTAAAAACCTTAAACCCTAAAGAACACCTAAACCCTGAAACCCTAAACCCCAACAACCAAAAACCGTAATGCCCTTAAAACCCCTTAACAAATTAGAACCACAGAACCACCTAAACCCTAAAAACCTTAAACCTAAGAACCTTAAACCCCCAAAAACCCACCTAAGCCCCAAAAGCCAAAATCCCTAAAACCCTAAACCGTCAAACCCTTAAAAACTCCCTTAAAAACCCAGAACAAACATCAAACCACCTAAACCCTAAAACCCCTAAACCTGAAAACCCTCAATCCCAAAAACCCTAAACCGTAAAAACCTCCTAAACCCTAAAAACCCTAAACCCTAAAAAGCCCTAAACCCTAAACCCCCAAAACCCTAAACCCTAAAACCATAAACCCTAAACCCTGATGCGCGCTTCAAAACTCTAAACCCCAAAAACCCTGAACTCTAAACCCTAAAAACCCTAAACCCAATAAAACCAAAAACAAAGCGTTACAAAACATAGAATCATCTAAACCGTAAAAAACCCTAAACCTTAAAACCCTAAACTCTAAAAACTCTAAACCCTAAAAACCCACCTAAACCACCTTCCAACCTAAAACCTTAAACCTTGAAAACCCTAAACACCCTAAACCCTAAACACCCTAAACCCAAAAAACGCTAAAGCCTAAAAACCCTAAACCGTAATCCCCTTAACAAAATTCCCAAAAAGCATTAAAGACCACAGAACCACCTAAACCTTAAAAACCCTAAACCCCAAAAGCCTCAACCCTAAAAACTCTAAACCCTGAAAACCCTAAACCCTAAAGACCCTATACCCCAAAAACTTTAACCCTTAAAAACCACCTAAACCCTAAAAACCCAAAACCCTAAAAACCCTAAACCATAAAACCCTTAAAGCCCTTTCAAAAATTAGAACCATAGAACCACCTAAAGCCTAAAAACCCTAAACCTAAAAACCCTAAACCCTAAAAGCCCTACACCCTAAAAACCACCTAAACCCGAAAAACCCTAAACCC